CTGCCCCATCACCTCCCATACCTCCCCCATCACCTCCCGTACCTGACCCGTCACCTCACATGCCTCCCCCGTCACCTCTCATGCCTCCCCCATCACCTCTCATGCCTCCCCCATCACCTCCCGTACCTGCCCCGTCACCTCTCATGCCTCCCCCATCACCTCACATGCCTCCCCCATCACCTCCGGTACTTTCTTGAACTTAGTCATGGCTTAGTGACAGAAGCCATGTCAAAACCTTGCCTTTCAGGGTCAGAGACAAAGAGGTAAAGCCTGTGATTGAGATGGACATGCCTCCGCCCAAAACACAGCCAGGCAGCCAAGGTGTGCAGTGGCCGGTGGAGAAGTTTCCCTTGTTTGACAGGAGTAAGCAAGCCCCCAGGGCACCGTGCCTGGAGCCCCCAGTGGAGAAGGCCTAGAGGAGTGGGCTCCGTGTGGAGAGGGCTGAGGGAAGAAGGAGGTCATAGCCACGTTGAAAGCCAGGACAGCGTCTTAGCTGTTTCCTCTAGAAGACTGAGACTTGCTCTAGGTTCTGCTGTGCAGCTGCAATGCTGCTCAGTACCATCATTTCATTTTAGAATTAGTAATTAAACGTATGCTACTTAACAGTGATAAGAACTGTGCCCCATTGTAGTGATGGTTCGTCATCAGCCTTGTTCTGTGAAAGGGGAAAGGCCAGCCTCACGTGGGGTCTGGAGGTCACATGTGCCTCCGTGACTGCCCACAGCACAGCTTCCCGCAGCCCCTCTGGGGAGCTGTGTGCGTGAGCCTCCCACGGAGCCCGCAGGAGCAGGGAGAGGCTTCTGCCTCCTTCCTCTGAGGTCCTTCCTCTGGGTTAAGGGGCTCACAGAATTTGGGGACAGTCCCCAAGGCCACCTCACTTCTGATGACAATTGAACGTTTGGGGGTCCCCAAGACCAACCTCAGGATCTGATAATTTACTAGAAGGACCTATAGAACTCATTGTCATTGTCATGTTATGGCTGGTCGCAGCTCAGGGACACAGGTAAGGCCAGCAGGATGAAGAGGCGCTGGGACAGCTCCAGGGACACGGCATGTGCTTCCAGGTGTCCTTCCCCCTGGAGTCGTGTGGGGTGTGCGTCCTGCGTGCAGCAGCAGTGTGTGAGCGCACGGGGGAGTGCCATGCACAGAGGCTGCCCAGTTTGGTGGGAGGGTTTTTGGAGGGTTGGGCATTAGACACAGCTGACTAGCTGCCCTCAACCTCCAGCTTTCTGGAGGTCAAGCTGATAGTGAGACCCAACCCCCACCCTGAGTCACAGCTGTACTCCTGTGACTCAAAGGCCCCCGGCAGGCAGCACTTTCAGCTGGAGGCGGCCGCCCAGGAGCTGGAGGCCAGGGCTGACCTTTCCTCCACAGGAATTGGCCAAGTGGCTGCGGGAGCGCCTTGTATCCCTGGCACTGATCCTCAGGTATTTCCCCTCTGTCTTCTAGAATCTCGCTGTGACAAGGACATGGACACTCTCAGTGGTTATGCTCTGTGCCTTCCCAATTTAGCCAGACTTCAGACGTACCATTTTGCTGAGCACCGGCCGATACTGTGTGTAGAGATCAAGGTGAAGTTTTGTAAAGGGGAGTGGTGTGGGGAGAAGGGAAAGGTGGGTTCAAGTTGTGAGTCCAGGGCACCTGACAGAGCACACCTTCCCATTGAAGCTCCTGCTGTCTCCACGGCCCCACAGCCCTTCTCAGGCCCAGCACCTCCTAGAGCAGTGGTTCTCAACCTTCTGGCCCTTTAAATACAGTTCCTCATGTTGTGACCCAACCATAATATTATTTTCGTTGCTATTTCATAACTGTCATGTTGCTACTGTTATGAATCGTCATGTAAATATCTGATATGCAGGATGGTCTTAGGCGACCCCTGTGAAAGGGTCGTTCGACCGCCAAAGGGGTTGCGACCCACAGGTTGAGAACTGCTGACCTAGAGACTCCGTCTGCTTCCCGCTCCTTCCATGGTGCCACCTGCTCCCTGCTCTGGTTTCTCCCACCGGCCAGCCCAAGGGACATGGCTCCCCAGGCCCCCAGATTCAGGGCTGTTTCCAGGTGTTGCGAAGGAGAGACAGCGGGACAGGCCCTGGCCGACAGCCACCAGCAGAAGTGCTTTGGATTCCACCCTCCCCGTTTGCTTTGGAAGGTGCAGCTCACTAGGCCCCCCTGACCACTCCCTCTGCCATGCCCTGTGGGCCCTGTGGTGACACTACATGCTGTGTTCCAGGAGGTCAGCTTGAGGGCTGCCCTTCAGACTGGAGGGCACGCCGTTCCTTTGCTTCTGTCCTGCTCATGTGAAACCGCCCTCGGTTTGTCGTGGCCAGGAGTCCTGAGCTGGGGGATAAGGGGTGTTGCACGTCTATCGGAGGAAGTGATTGCCAGATAAGGGCCAGGCCCCTGGCTTCATTCTGCTGCCCAGTGTCCAGGGGGCTGCTCAGGTCTTCTTCAGGAAGCTTCCCGGATGTCCCAAGCCATTGTTTGTCTCCTTTTCCCAAACCTCTTTGGTGGTGATTTCCGGGTCACACCCTTGACCCTGAGCACTCACAACCCTGTGCTCAGTGGGGACTGCAGACCCGCTTCCCAGAGGCTGAGTGTCCTGGCCTCACAGAGACACGGCAGCTCTCCAGGGCCACGTTCTAAATGCAGGTCTCACATGTTGTGCGTGCCCAGAAACCAGGGGTTTCAAAAGGCACCCGGGGTTCCAGACGTTTTGGGAGCCTAGCAACCATCAGATGGGCCCTTCCTGTTCATGACTTCTTGTCAGAGGTCCTGCTTCTTGGTGCTGGGAGCACTCCCAGCATCTTTCCAGTCTCGTTTGTCTTGAAAACACGAAGCGACTCTGTGTTGTGCTTTTCAGTCCAGCAACTGAGGACCAGTGAGAGTTCTGACTCAAGCAGCAAAGAGATGTTTAGATGATACGACAAGAGAACCATCATGGGCTAGAGAGAAAAGCAGCTTTGGGGACAGTTCTGTCCAACACGGCTGCTGCTCCCAAAGTTGCCTTATAGTTCTATGTCTGCTTAAAGCAGCGGTTCTCAACCTGTGGGCGTGACCCCTTTGGGGATCGAACAACCCTTTCAACAGGGGTTGCCTAAGACCATCGGAAAACACATATATAATTACATATTGTTTTTGTGATTTAATTATGTTCAATTTGTAACAATGAAATTGGGGGTCACCACAACATGAGGAATTGTATTAAAGGGTCGCGGCATTAGGAAGGTTGAGAACCACTGGCTTAAAGGTATGCAATTTCTCCCTAAGCAGATTTTCTTATTTATTTTGCAGCCAAAATGTGGGTTTATTCCTTCCTCCAGTGCCGTGACGCACGAGATGAAGCACAAGGTGTGCCGCTACTGCATGCACCAGCACCTCAAGGTGAGCACTAGCCAGCCCACCCGCCTGCAGCGCCGCTGGGAGGGCGCCGGCCTGCAGTGACCACCCAGAGTTTTCAAAAGAGTCAAAGAAATTGTAGATGCTTATTATTTACCTCACCTTTTTGTTGTTCATTTTAAATTGAGATAAAGTTTTTTTGCCCTAAGATTCACCCTTTTAAAGTGTATAGATTGAGTATATTTTAGTATATTCACAAAGTTGTACAACCATCACCACTACCTAATTCCAGAACATTTTCATCACTTCGAAAAGAAATTCTGTCCCCAGGAGCAGTCCCTGTCCAGTCCCCTGTCCTGCCAACTCCTGTCAACCTCCTATGTGTCTGGATTTGCCTGTTCTGGACAGTCATACAATGTGTGTGCCTTTTGCAACTGTCTTTTTCCACTTAGTATAATTATATTGAATCCATCCATATAGTAGCATGTATCAGCACTTCATTCCTCTTGTGGCTGATTAATATTCCATTGTCTGGGAACATTTTGTCCATCTACTCATCTGTTGATGAACATGTGACTTCTTTCCACCTTTTGGTTATTATGAATAATGTTGCTATGAATATGCATGTACATGTGTTTCTTTGAATCCTGTTTTCAGTTTCCTTGGGCAGTGTGCCAACTCGGCACGGCCATGGGTGAGCCTGAACTCAGGCCCCTGTTCCCCACACTCAGCCCCACGTTGGGCGCCATATGTGCCGTGCCTGCACAGACAGGTTCAGTGAGCCTGAGAGGGGGCGGTGAAGGATTGAGAAAAGACAGATAAGAGAAAAAAGCTGGGTCTGGGTTGGACAGTGCCTCTCTGATGGAGAGCTAGCGACAGCACCATGGCCGCAAGCAGAGTCTTTATTTTATAGCCACATTCCATAAGGCAAAGTAAGGGCGTGATCAAGATGTTTACAACATTCTTGCGGTTTCGAGCTACCCAATTACATGCACCTGAACTCTATCAAGCCCCATCACTCAGCCACAGTGGGACTATAGGTGCAGACCATAGGTTCAAGCTTACAAACTATAGTCTTTGGCTATCATTGTGCTGGGACTTGCACATGGCTTTGCCACAAGAGGATTGTGCCCTCTCATTAGTCCCAGGCTTGAACCTGTTCAAATGCTGTAGCTACTCTCCACAGGGTAGATTCCTTGGAGTGGAATTACCGGGTCTTAGGGAAGTTCTATGTTTAACTTTTTGAGAAAACACCACACTGTTTTCCCCAGCCGTTGCACTATGTGATAGTCCCATTAGCAATGTATGAGTGTTCTAATTTCTCCACGTCCTTGCCAGCCCTGATTGTTCTTGTTTGTGGTGAGTGTACAGTGGTAGCTCATTGTAGTTTTCATTTGCGTTTTTCTAACAGTGATGGTCAGCGTCTTTTCATGTGCTTATTGTGTCATTGGACTATCTTCTTTGGAGAAATATCTATTCAAGTTCTTTGCCCATTTTGAATTGGGTTTTTCTGTTGTGGAGTTTACATGTTCTTTATGTATTATACTAGAGTTCCGATGCACAAAATTCATGCAAGGGGCTCAGCCCTCACAGCACCAGCTTTGTCTGGAAGGTTGTCCAGAAGGACATCTGGAAGGACGTCTGGAAGGTTGTTCGGCTGTCCAATCTAATTAGCATATTATGCTTTCATTATTATAGATGTGATTTGCAAATATTTTTTCCTCTTCTGTCGTTGCCTTTTACTCGTTTTTCTTTTTAATATTGTTTTTATTGATTTCAGAGAGGAAGGGAGAGGGAGAGATAGAAACATCAATGATGAGAATCATTGATTGGCTGCCTCCTGCACGCCCCCTACTGGGAACCGAGCCTGAAACCCGAGTATGTGCCCTTGACCAGAATCGAACCTGGGACCCATCAGTCCATAGGCTGATGCTCTATCCACTGAGCCGAAATGGTCAGTGCTACTCTGTTGATAGTATCCTTTGATGTACAAAGTTTAAAATTTGGTAAAGTCTATTTTGTCTACTTTTTCTTTTGTTGCCTGTGCTCTTGGTATCATATCTAAAAAATCATTACCTAACCCAGGGGTGGGCAAACTTTTTGACTCGAGGGCCACAATGGGTTCTTAAACTGGACCGGAGGGCCGGAACAAAAGCATGGATGGAGTGTTTGTGTGAACTAATATAAATTCAAAGTAAACATCATTACATAAAAGGGTACGGTCTTTTTTTTTTTTTTTAGTTTTATTCATTTCAAATGGGCCGGATCTGGCCCGCAGGCCGTAGTTTGCCCACGGCTGGCCTAACCCAAGATCATGAAGCTTTTCTCCTATTTTCTTCTAAGAGTTTTATAGTTTTAGCTCTTATGATTAGGTCTTTGATCCATTATGCGTTAATTTTTGTTTTGTTTTTTTTACTATGAGGGAGCATTTATTAAAGCTGAGGACAGTAAAACAAGAAAGGGCTTAGCATATGGTCAATGATTCTCTCTCATCATTGATGTTTCTAGCTCTCTCTCCCCTTTCCTCTCTGAAATCAGTAAAAATATATTTTTTAAAAAAGGAGAAAGAAAGGACTTAGCATAGAAGCAGCAACAGGAGAGCCAGGCTGGGCTGCCTTAGGTCTCTGGGAAGGCAGAGAAAAGCGGGCCTTGCGAGCAGGTTCAGGGGTGAGCCTGGGATGAGGGCTGCTGCCCATTGCTCCCCAGGTTGCAAGCCTCGTGGGGTCCTTTAGGTTTAGGAGATGCCTGCCTGTGGGAGGAGAGGGGAGAGAAGAGGGAGAAGGGAGTGAGAGGGGCTGCTCCCCAGAGGAAGAGCACTTTGAGTTAATTTTTGTATATGGTGTTAGGTAAGGATCCAACGTCATTCTTGTGCATGTGGATGTCCAGTTTTCCCAGCACCCTTTGTTGAAAAGACTGTTCTTCTTTTTCCATAGAATGGACTTGGCACCCTTATTGAAGATCTTTTGGCCATATATGTGATAGATTATTTCTGGCTCTCTAGTCTATTTTATTGGTTTATATGTCTGTCCTTATGCCGGTACCATTCTTTGATTGCTGTAGCTTTGTAGTAGGTTTTGAAATGAGGAAGTGTTAGTCCTCTGGCTTTGTTCTTTTTCAAGATTGTTTAGGTTATTTCGTGCCCATTACAATTACGTATGAATGTGAGGATTGGATTTTTTATTTTTTTAAAACATGACTTGGAATTTTGACAGAAATGGCAGGAATCTGTGGATCACTTGGGTAATATTGCCATCTTAACCATTATAGTTTGTTAGCATTAAGTATATCCACATTGTCGTGAAGCCATCTCCAGACCTTTATTCATCCTGCAAAACTGAAACTCTACCCATTAAACAGCCTCACATGTCCTCTTCTCACCCCTAGAACCGCCATTGCAGTTTTTACCTTTATGAATTTGACTGCTGTTGGCACCTCGTACGCGTAGAGTGAGGCAGTGTTTGTCTTTTTGACGGGTTCACTTTAACTCAGCATGACGTCCTCCAGATTCCTCCGTGCTGGGGCATGTCAGAGTTCCCTTCCTTGTGAAGCTGAATAATCCACTGAGCTTGGGCTGTTGTCAGGGATGCTGCTCTGAATAAGAGTGTACAGATAGCTCTGGAGACCCTGCTTTCCGTTTTGTGAGGAAATACCCAGAAGTAAGAATTGCTAGGTCATATGGTAAATCTGTTTTTAATGATGAGGAACCACACTCTGTATTCATAGAGCTGTTCCAGTTCACATTCCACCACAGCACATTTCCCCACATCCTCACCAAAACTCGCTATTTTAAAAAATATATATTTTATTGATTTTTTTTACAGAGAGGAAGGGAGAGGAATAGAGAGTTAGAAACATCGATGAGAGAGAAACATCGATCAGCTGCCTCCTGCACACTCCCTACTGGGAATGTGCCCGCAACCAAGGCACATGCCCTTGACCGGAATTGAACCTGGGACCCTTGAGTCCACAGGCCGACGCTCTATCCACTGAGCCAAACTGGTTAGGGCGCTATTTTCTGTTTTTGATAGTAGCCATCTTAATGACTGTGAGGTGAGAAATGCAATTGGTTTTTGCATAATGATATTTTTTAAGGAAAAGAGGCTTATTTCTTTTGTGCACAATGACAAGAGTGGTATCCACCACCTGTTCATCCTGTGCCCCCCATCCTGGCTGGTGCAGGGCACTGTCGTAGCTGGCATTTCCCCTCTTCCCTGTGAACAGCACAGCTGGTGGCAGATGCAATGTGCACAGCTCTTCTTAGACTGTAGCAGCTGCCCAAGTTCTGACAGAGGGCAGGGAGTGGAGTGAAGCTGGGTCTCAGAGGCATCATCTGAAAGAACGGAGATAGAACGCCAAGGCTAGTGACCCCTCTGTGCGTCCAGTTTCTGACTCCCTCTTCTGAAGCCTTTCTGCTGTTCCCTTCCATTGGAGCAATTCCTGGTCCAACTCCCCCAAAGCCCAGGCAGAGGTTGGACTTTCTTCTGTTTGGCTTATTTACACTTAAGACCCAGTCAGTCAGAAAAAAATTCAGTCTTGATCATCACTGGCCTGACAACCTTCTGTTGTATATTTTTTAGTGTTCAGTGAAAAATAGAAACAATTCAAGGTAGAAAAGTTTAATACAGGACATTAAGTGTATGCAGACTCATTGAAAGCTGGAGTGAGCCATAGGTGGTTCTCCGGGAATGAGAACATCGGAGACCTGCCGCCTCAGGGAGAGGATGGAGAGTCTTGCAGAGCTGCATCCGGGGCAGGGAGGCCCCAGAGGCTCAGCTGCTCCGGAGCACCACAGAACTCAAGATGGGACCCTGGGAAGGAAAGCCCACCCAGAGTGAGAGCCTGCGGTGTGCTGCGCAGTGACCTTTTGTACTGTCACCCTTTGATGAACTTGTTTATTTGCTCTAACATTTTTTGATGGTTTCTTAGGATTTTTTATATACATGGTCAGATCACTTGCAAACAGAGATAGTTCTGGTTCTTTCTTTCTTTCCAACCTGATGCTTTCTGTTTTTCTTCCCTAATTGTCCTGGTTAGAACTTGCAGTA